CTTCCCCTTTGCAAAGAGGTTTTTGGGGCTGTGAGGGGCTGGTGGGTGCAGCCTTTGGGGTGCAGGGCCCTGACGCTGCTGTGCCCCAGGGAGCAGTGGAGGGCTGCAGCATGGGCTTCACCAAGTTCTGTGCTGCTCTGCTGAACCACCCGGATGCGGAGCTGCAGGCCATCCCCCGGGCCATGCTGGAGCAGGTACTGTGCTCGTTGTGCTCCTTGATTCCCCCATGCCCCAGGGAGCCCCGGGGTTGTTTCCCTGTGTCCTCACTCCCTGGGGCAAGCACCCTTCTGGCAGCCAAGATGCTGGTGCTGGGCACTGCAGGGCAGCTGCAGGCTCCATGCAGCGGGTTTCCAGCCATATCTCAGTGGGTTTTGTTTCTCTGCCAGGGCTTGGAGGCGCTGAGCGGACCCCGCAGCAGCTCGATCACGCGCCGTGCCGCCGGCTTCCCCATGCTCTTCCTCTGCATCGTCAGCGGGGAGGCCCCGGCGCAGGCACGGCCGCTGCTGACCCGCTGCATCCAGACACTGCTGGCCTTGGCCACCACGGCACTGCCACAGGACTGGGACCAGACCCTCGACCTCCCACAGGTGGGTGTGGGGCTCCTGGCTGCTGGAGCCTGTTGGGGACAGGGTGATCTGCACAGGGTCCCCTGAAGGGAGCCGCACTGGGTATCCAGTGCTGGTGTGGAGACCTTAGAGTGAGCAAAAACCCAAAGTCCTGACTGTGCTGCCCAGCCCAGCAGCCCAAGAGCTGCTGGCCCCTTGGCTCCCATCTTTTCCCACCATCTTTTCTTCCTGTGGAAGCACGAACGCCCTCCCTGCCCAGTGATGCTGATCCCTGCACTCTCCCCAGGTGTGTGCCCTCCACGTGCTGCAGACGCTGGTGCGTGGCACGGGGCTGGGTGGGGCAGTGCTGTGCCACGCCACACCCATGATGGCCCTGGCGCTGCGGGGCCTGGGCTCGCCGTGCTGGGCCATGAGGAACGCGGCCATCCAGCTCTTCAGTGAGTACTGACAGGGAGAGATCCCCACACCTCCGGGGTTCGGAGCCTGGCTGGGGTGAAGTGCAGGGGGTCGGGCAGGGTTGGATGGGACTTGACGCTGCATTCTGTGTCCCTGCAGGCGCCCTGACGTCCCGGCTGCTGGGGCAGCCGCGGAGCCACGGGGAGGGCTGCCCGGCGGAGGGGGTGAGCCTGCCCGCCTTCCTCGGGCAGCACCCAAAGCTGGGTGCTGTGCTGCTGGATGAGCTCAGGGTGGCCACAACGCCCATGCCAGGGGGGCCCCGTCTGCACCCCGCGCTCCACGCCATCCTCACCCTCCTGGCCCAGCTGCATCCTGGTGCTGACGGTTCCGGCAGGTGGGGGGGCAGTGGGGATCCTCTGCCTCAGCCAAGGACTCCTACAGTGGGAGGGGGTCCTGTGGTGCTGGTGGTGGCCCTGGCTCTCAGGGGGTTTTGCTCTGACTAGAGCATCACAACACGGTGCCTTTTTGCTCCACAGCTCCTCTGCTTCCTTCCTGGGGCCACTGCTGGGACTGGCAGAGAGCCCCATCTACGCCGTGCGAGCGATGGCTGCCAAGGCCCTGGTGCCCGTTGTCCCACCACCCCGGCGCCGTGGGCTCCTCCTGCAGCTCGCCCGGCAGCTCCCCACGGCACCCGGACGGATCCGCTCGCACAATGCTGTCCATGGGCACCTGCTGCAGATGCGGGCGCTGCTGGCCTCTGCCACGGGCACCAGGGGGTGAGTGGTACCAGGCTATCCCCCCACCTGCAACCCCTGTGGTCACTGCGTGCCAAGACACAGCTTTTTGGCCACAGAAGGGCGGCCAGCCGGGCGTTGTGCCCATGGTAAGGCCGTGTCTCCCTGCAGGCTGTCGGCCGAGGCGCTGCGCCCCGTGGCTCTGCAGCTGGAGGCGCGGGGCTGGCTGCTCACCCCTGCCCAGCGCTGCCCGCTCGTCCGCGCCGCCTTCCTCCAGGTCCTCGCCCTCCTCCCTGCATCCTTCAGCCCTGGCTTCACCCAGCACATCTGTGATTCCATCAGCACTGAGCTGGGCAGCTTTCTGCCGGGGGGAAAGCCAGGCCGTGCTGAGCCACAGGTACTGCTGCCTGCCGGGAAAATCATGGCCATGGCCGGACTGGCAGTGGGCCTGGGCGGGGCACAAGGACCGCTCGCTCGAGGCTGAGCACTGGGAGAGGAATCCTGTTTTTTTCTGCAGGTTGGCTTGGCCGTTCTCCACCAAACCATGGCCCACTTCATGTGCAGCGAGGCAGCTCAGCTGGCAGACAGCGAGCGGATTGCTGCTGTCTGCTCCCTTGTCCAGCAGCCCAATCCTGATGTCCAGCTTGCCATCCTGAGCTGGGTGGTCGCCAGGGAGGGAGGAACATGCAAGGAGCTGGAGAAGGCTCTCAGGCTGACACTGCTGGTATGACAAGGCTCAAAAAGTCACCAAGTAAAGCAGGGGGTCCCCAGCGCACCACACGGATGGGATCCCTGAGAAGCAGTGTTCCCCAGGCTGAGGGTGTGTGGGTGTGGGGCACTTGCCTGGTTGACACCCTGCAGTGCTGGGACCACTAACCATGTACCTTCTTTCCCGTTGTCAACTAGGAGAGCTTGCGGTCGGTGCTGCGAGAGAGAAGGGACAAAGAGTTCCTGAGATTGTACCTTGAGGCTTTGCTGCATCTTTACAGAGATCCCTCATCGTGGTCTCAGGAAGCTTCCCACAGACTCCAGGGCTCCTGGGCAGCATGCCTGGAGATGCTTCTGCACATGGTGGAGGCTGCGCGTCCTGGCCCCGACCTCCTCTTCCAGGCACTGTGTGCTGCCAGCCTGCTGCTCGCCCACTGGTAGGTCCCTGCTGCTGCCAGGGAGCTGCCCAACTCACCCAGCAGATTCTTAGTCCTTGCTGGAAACAGAGCCATGATTCTGTAAATCACAGCTTTGCACCTGGGTCCTGTGATCTCAGCGCCGCTGGTGGACTTTGGTCCCCGTGACGGAGCGGGAAGGTGTGCCTGAATCCCCTCTCCTTCCCTGGCCTCTGGCAGGTTCGGGGACGAGGACGGCCCGCTGGTGGAGCGCTGGTGCGCGGTGCTGGAGGACTGCTGCCGGCCTGCTTCGTGCGAGGTGCTGCGGCTGGCGGCCGCCCGCTCCCTGCAGACGGCGGGGGCCGCTGTGGTGCGGCGATCCCTGCGAGCTGCCCGGCCCTCGCTCGTCCCCGTGGCTTTGCGGTAGGTCCCCGAGCCCATCCCCGGGGACGGCTGCACTTACAGGAGCTGCCCCGTGGCCGCAGCACGTTCCCAGCAGCACTGCTCCCTGCAGCCCCAGCGTGCTGCAGGTTAATCGACTGCAGAAGGTGTCCCCTGCAAAAAACTCATTGAAGAAAACCCCTCTCGTTCAAAAATCACTGGCACCCAAGAGCTTGCAGCCTACAAAAAAATGCCTGGTTGGCATTTTAATAGAAGTAGCCAGTCCCTTATGAGCAGCAGATAACACTGCTGGGTCCCTCAGTCCCAGCATGGTCCCTGCCCTCCCAAGCTGCATGTTCTTGAGTGCTGGTTGTGCCTTTCACAGTCCAGGAAAAAAGTCCTTCAGGGACTCACAGAGACTGTGAGTGCTTCCCTCCCCTCCAGGCAGGCTGCAATACTTTGTGTGCAGTGTCCTTCCCTTCTCTTCTCTCTTCCCTGTCCCCAGGCTGATAAACATGGCCATTCACCTTCTGCAAGACGAGGAGCGGGAGGTCCGGCACGAGGCCTCAGGTTTTGCCAGCCTCCTGCAGCAGAACCCCAGGGAGCCACTCCGAGACAGCTGCACCTTTGTGCAGGACAATGTGGGGCTCCAGAGCCTCCTGCAGCTCCTTCTGGGAGAATTCGGGGAGCACCCTGAGACCTTCAATTCACTGCTGCAGCATCTCCCCATCCTAGATCTCAGGAGCATTGTGGAGGAGCTGGAGGCCAACAAGTGAGCTGTGGGCTGGTATGAAGGAGTGCAGGGTACCCTGGAGCCAGCCCTTGGCTTCACTCATGCCTTGGCTTTCTCTGCAGAGCTGCCAGCCTGTACAAGGAGGATGAACCCAACGTTTTTGCAGAGCCAGCCGTCCTGGCACAGCAGCTGCTCCCTGTCCTGATGCAGCTCCTGGAGAAGGTGCCTGCTGGCAGCCCACTCCATGCCTTGGCTCTGCACTGGCTGGAAGCCACAGGCCCTGGTGTGCTGCAGGAACTGCGGTACTGCAAGCACTGCTGGAGCCAAGGTATGGCAAGTGTGGAGCCCCAGGACAAGTGAGCTGATGTCCCCATCCCCAGGCCAGCTTTTCCCTGAGAGACCCCACCATGCTCACAGCTCCTTCACCCTGTCTCTCCTCAGGGACTGGTGCCCACTGGGGGATGAAGGTGCTGGGCTGTGCCAAACTCCACACAGCCGTGGCCGTCCTGCTGGTGAGGGCCCGGCTGGTGGTACAGGTGCTGCAGGTACTGGGGGAAGGTGCCACTGCTGTGCCAGGGCTGGACTGTGGCACCCAGGAGCTGGAGCAGGAGCTGGAGCTGGTGCAGGGGCTGCTGGTGCAGCATGGGCTGGCCCCTGTGTCCAATCAGGGCAATACACCAGGAGAGCTGGGACCACCATCTGGGACTGCCTGACACCACCTGGCATGCAGTGGTGTGACACGAGACCCTGCAGTCACATCCCTCTCTTTGCTGGATGCTCTCTGGCCACCAGCCAGGCCTGTGGGTTCAGTGGTTTAACTCAGGGGAATCACACGCAGTGGGGGACACACTCACTTTGTTCCCACTGTTTTCTAACTGTCCACCTGACTCCAGTGCATCATCACCTTGGACTGTGCCCAAGGCATCCCTGCCCTTGGCTCTGGCTGGCAGGGAAGGCCCTGCACGCCAGAGCCCTCACATCCCCTTGTGCTCCTCAACTCCCACCACCTGTTTTTTTAACCAGTGTTTTTGTCCATGGCTGACCTGGGATTTCATCCCAAATAAAGAGGCCAAGAACGTTCCCAGTGTTGAAGCCTTTTAATTTCCCTGCCCAGGAGGATGGGGTGAGAGGGAGCTGTAACAGGCAGCAGGAGCCAAACACATCCTGGGGCAGCAAACAGGCAACAGCCATAGGCTGCAGCAAGGGAACCTCAAATCCTAAGCCCCCTGCTCAAGCCCCCAGCCCTACGGGCCACCCTGGCTCATGGCCATAGGTAGCTGATGGGTAGGTGACAACCCAATGCCTGGCTGAACCCTCCTCATTACATTCCACAGAGAGCTGGGCAACTGACAGTCCTCTGCAGGCACTGGGACTGCCCAGGGCCACAGTCCCCACTGTGGGGACAGAGACAATCTGTTCCTCCTGGGGATGGGTGCTGGTTGCCACCCTGCAGCCAGAGTCCCATTGGATGAGGCTGGGGCAGCTATTCCATGGGCTGCCCTCTCCTTCCCACCTCCAGATCTGGGCTGTCCCCACCTTGGGCTCCCTCCTCCCTTGGCCAGCCTGGCAAGAGCCAGCCCTGGCACAGCACATCCTCCCACCACAGGCTGTGGAACTACAGGCCAAGGCTGGACCAGGGACCCCACCAATGAGGTCAAGCTGAGTGAGGAAGGGCACCAGCACCACCCAGTTCAGCCTCACTCCCTCCAGTGGGAGCTGCTGAGCCCCACAGCTGGAACTGGACACCCTCTGGCACCATCACCCAATGTGCAGGTTTTGGGTGTCTCTGTTTAATTCCTGTCTGCAAACCACAGCACAAAGCTGAGTCACTCTGCCCAGCTCACCCAACATTCACTCCAGGGAGTGATCTCAGATGCTCCATCCTCATATTGCTTGCCAATGGCAGCTGATTGCATGGCATGATGTCATGGCTGAGCATGACATCATGTCACTGCTGCAATCATCTTCTCACTCAGATTTAACCTCTTTGTGATGTTCTTCTACCATTAATCACCACACTTCAGCATTTCCCTTATTTTTAATCTTTATAAGAAGGATTTTCTTCCCATTCTTCAACAAAGTATTTAATGGTAAACACAGGGAGTCGGATACAAGGGTGAGCAGCAAACCTGCAGAAGGATGAAATTATAAAAGACACCACATTTTTATTTCATCCCCCCACCTCCCCAGCATGGAGTGGTGCCATAGGGAGGCTCAGCTCACCTTCCCAGGGAGATCCTACACGAAGATGAGAGCGGGTGGGGAGCAGACACAACCCTCCTGCAGCCCCTCCTGTACCCATGAGCCCTGGCACCCCACCACAGAGGCAGCCACCCAAAATGTCCTGGAAGGGAAAACTGTTGAGAACTGGGGTGTGCCACAAATAATTAAATATAATTTAAAAATTATATGTAGTTTTATATTACATATAAGAATACATATTGGCAGTTGTACTAGATTATCATTGTAGGTCCCTTCCAACTGAAATATTCTATTTAAATATATTTATTTTAATACTATATATCATCAATTTATAGTCCACATTATTGATTTATCTTATAATATTATGGTATATTATGGCATATTATAATAGTAGTTTTATATATTAATGTATTAAGAACATAAAAGAAAGATGTCTGAGGGATATGGAAAGATGTTCTTTCATCTTCCCCCCAAAATTACCACCTACCTGGCTCCTTGCAGCCCATGTCCAGTGCAATGGGCACGGTGGTGGGACATGTCCCCCCAGCATTCCACACACACCTGCTTGTCCCGGTGCAGCCGGCGGCTCCAGCCTTGCCCACGGCAGGGGGGTCCCACCTGCGTCAGGCGGAAATAGCCGCAGTAGCTGGGGAGGGGAGAGCTGGGGAGAGGGGAAAGTAGAGGGGAAGAAAGAGGGGAAATGGTGGGAAAAACAAGGGGAATGGTGGTTGGAAAGTAGGGCAGAGGTTAGGGTTTTTTGATGGATCGGGGGTGTAAAGGGGATGTGGTTTTGGGGAGGCAAAGAGGCCATGGTTGGGGAGGTGAGAAGGGTATTGGCTCTGAGGGGGTGTAGAGAGGCCATGAGTTTAGGGGGTACAAAGGAGTCATGGTTTGGGGCAGCAGGATAATGGCTCTTTGAGGGTGGAGGGTGCAAAGGGGCCATAGCTTTGTATGAGGGTGCAATGGGGCTATAGGTCTGCAGGGGGACAAAGGGACTATAGCTTTAGGGGGTGCAAAGGGATCATGGTTTAAGGGGTGGGAAGGTAATGGACCTAGAGGGATGCAAGGGGCCATGGAGGTGCAATGGGGCCATACTTTTGGGTGGTGAAAAGATTAATGGCTAGGGGGTGCAAAAACGTCTTGGGTCTGAGGGTTGCAGAGGGGCTCCAACCCCACACATACCCAGAGGGCTCCTCCAGCAGTGGCAGCCCAGCTCTTCGCCAGGGATCTCTGAAGTCCCAGCTGAAGGTCTTGGGGAGTATCTTGGCTACCTCTGGCAGAAGAACAGCCGTGAGGGGCATGTGGATTATTAAAGACACCCCAGGACAGGCAGCGGGGACAGCAGCACATGGGGTCAGCCACAGGAAAGGACACCAGGCATCCCACGTTACCTTTGGCTGTCCCGCAGGTTGGGTGCTCCCCCAGGCAGCCGCGGCGCTGCTTGAGGTCAGGACAGGGCTCCCCTCCGTGCCGGGGCGGGACGGTGACCTGGCGGCTGCGGGCCCTGCTGCCGACCCCACACGGGGAGCTGCACCCACTCCATGGCCCCCAGGGCCCCACTGAGCAGCCCACAGCTGCCAGGGGAGCAGGAGGGATGGAGGAGAGGGAAAAGAGACAGAGCTTCAGCGCCATGAACAGTGGAAGAGGAGTGCAGGAGGGATGCAGCGCAGGGGAGGGGGAGAGGGGAGGAAGGACAAGGGCCAGGGTGACCCCAGCAGCCCCTCTCCCCTGACCCTCGCCAGCACAGGGACATTGTGCGCCGCTTCCGCAGGATTTTATCCCTGTGCTGCATCGCGCTGAGCTGGGACCCCGCTAATCTCCCTGGAGATTAGGAAGGGCTGACTGTTGCAATTGTCCAGGGGGCCACAGCTGGCACCTGCCTGCCCGCGTTTGGGTCTCCAGGGCGGGCCGGCTCCGCACCCCCAAGCCCACGATCCCTGTTTGGCACCCCCAGCACAGCCCTCAGTCCCTGTGTCCCTGTGCAAGGCACTGCCTGTGACAGTGGTAGGGGTGTTGCCAGGGTTTGTCCTGCTGGGTCCCACACTGACCACTCTGAGGCTTGCAATGACAGCGCCACTGTCAGCTGCAGACCAGAGGCCACCCCTGCGGGCTTTCATTGCACTGGGACCAGCCAGACATTCAGTGTGGAAAAAAGGGGAAAATTCAGATATTGTTACAAATCCAGCCCAGCCGGCACCCACAGGTGCACCCTGTTACCGCTCAAAGCAGGGGCTAACAGGTACCAGCAAACACCCACCACCCAGAGCAGCAGCCCAGGTTGGTGTCCCCAGCCCCAGGCCTGGCCAGTGCCATGCCCTGTGCCACTCACCGGCGCGGCGGCACGTGGTGTGGTAGTCCTGGCAGCAGTCCCCTGTCCTCTGGCAGTATGAGTCGCAGTAGCAGTGAGCCCGGCGGGCACTGGGGACCCAGCACACGTTGTTCCTGCCCGGGCAGCAGCGGTGCCGGCAGCTGCCCGTGGCACCCACCAGGTAGCTGGTGGCCAGCAGCCAGCCCCCCCAGAGCAGCAGGCCCTGCATAGCACCGGGACCCTGCAAGCCCAGAGGGATGGCTCTGCCCTGCACCTCCTGGATGCTGGATGAGGAGCGAGGGCTGTGCTGGTGGTGGGTTGGGATCTCCGGCCGTGCCGCACCGCCCCCAGGGCTGGGCGGGGGGACAAAGCCTGTTCCCTTCTGCTCCACTGCCCCTCGCCGTCCCACCAGAGCAAGGACTTCACACAAGTACTCAGGATTATTAATAAAGCACAGTGCATGGGACAACACAACCCTGGCGCTGCCTGGGAGCACATGTGAATGGTGCACTGCTGGCTTGGAGCTGATGCTCCCCCAGGAGCACCACCTTGGCATGCTGGGGAGCCTTGTCCCCCACCCGCAGGGCAGGAGCTGCTCGCTGCTCACTCAGCACCGCCCAGACACAAACGCAGCTGCTAAAGCCAGACTGATTTTATTCAAATTGCGAATGTAAAACAGAATAATAATAAAAAAAAACCAGTAATGCAACCCTCGCTGGCTTCAGAGCCGAAAGCCGCAGGTAAACTGTGCCCAGGCTTTCCTCCTTCACCTTCCTGTGTTAAGGCTGAGCTCATCGCTGGCAACAAGAGGGAGGAGGGTCGGGTAGAGCCCTGGCTCCTGCACAGCCCTCCACTCCCTCAGGAGAAGTTTGGCACAAATCGTGTGGGGCCAGCCTGGCGTGGGCAGGGCAGGGCTCTGGCCCCACGGCCACAGGTGTTAGTGGGTCAGCGTGAAGCTCCAAAAGCTACAGGATTACCTATGGGGCCACAGAGAGGCGGCGGGAGGGCAGATGGGGGGAATGTGGCAGAAGACAGGGGTTTGCACCCCCCGGCCGAGGGGCCGAGTCTGCGGGGCAGGGCTGCCCCTCCTACCCCGACTGTAAACGGCAAGTGATAGGGGCACCCAGCTCACCCCAACCCCGGCCTGCCGTGAGCACAACTAAAGGCCTGGCTGTATGTGCAAATTTGGGCAGACCCTGACCAGCAGCCCAGGGCTGAGTGGGACCCCAGGGATGGGATGCTGCACGTCGGTGGTCCTGGTGCTGGCAGGGAGGGAGGAGGAAGCCTTGGGCCACACCAGCAGGTCACTGCCCTTGCGGCCCGGGAGGTGCAGGGCTGTTGGGCTCCCCCTGGAGCTGCTGTGACCCAGTGCATCGCTCCCAGCCAGTGGTGTGAGCCCCAGCAGCAGCTTGCAATGCCACGTGTACAGCCTGGCATTGCACCATGGCTCCGGGCAGCTCTCACCATCCCCAAAAAGAGCTGCTCCCCAGGCAGACAGCAGCTCCTGGCTGCCAGGAGCCCTGGGGCCACTGTCGCAGGGGACACTTCACCCTGGATAACTGGCACTCACACCTGATGTGGCACCAGGGGGAAGTGTCAGCAGGGGACTGGGGTGGGCATAACTGGGATTCTTGGGGTCTGGATGGTGGGATGCTGCTCCCTCCCTGCTCCTTTTAGCACATAACTAAGTAATTTAACCTGCTCCAGCTCCAGAGCCTGTTCCTAAAGATAAAGGTGGCCAGGTTTGGGGGGAGGGCGTGCGGGGCAGACCTGGCCCCTGCAGCGCCAAAGCCGGGTGTGGGCTTGGTCTCTGCTCTCCAGCTGCAGCCCTGCGGGGCCCGGGAGGCGGGGCCGCCTGGCCCGGCCCCTCAGTCCGTTTTCCACACCTTGTTGAGGAATTTGACCACCTCATCGTAGATGATGAAGACGATGGCCACGTCGAGACAGACGCGGCCCAGGCGAGGCACCGTGCCCTTGTAAAACCTGCCGGGGATAAAGGGGGCCGTGGGGTTGGGTGCCCTCACAGCCCCCTTCCTGCCCATCCTGCCCCCCAGCCGCCCCCACCGCAGAGCTTACGCCACGGGCCCTTCGTGTTTCATGATCTGGTAGGCACAGTCCCAGGTGTTCTTGTACTTGTGCGCTTCCAGCCCCTGTGGGATGGGGAAAGCAGGATCAGAGGCCAGAGCCAGGGTGCATGTGGGGGATTTTGTGGGGGAGGCAGATAGCTGAGGGTGTGCCACGAGGAACTGATCCCTCTTCGCTGCTGCAAATCACACTTGGCAGGGACATCCCCATCTCTGTGCAAATACTTCCCAGCACCAACCCCAGGTATCTCCCAAACCAAATCCCAGTACCATCATGTGCCTGCCCCAGGGACTATGTGAAACAGCTCCCAGCCAGCGGGTGGCCCCAGCCTGCTGCCAGCAGAGTGGTCCCACACCGTGCCCTGGAACCGTACCTGCATCCTGGTCTTCACTACGTCCAAGGGGGTGTTGCCAAAGACACTTGCAGCTCCAGCAATGGCTCCAAACACCCCCGTGATGAAGGGGTTGATAACCTTGTTGGGATTGTCCCCTAGGAAGGAAGAAAGTTTGAGGGCAAAGTAGTGGTGGGATGAAGCACTCATTCCCGAGGGAGCCCACAAGGAAGATCCCAGGTCTGGTTGCTCCTGGTCATGGTGCTGAGCTGGGGGCTGGAGTGTTTGGAGGAGACTGTCCAGCAGCAGCAGCCCCACAGAGCCCACACAGCACCAAGGGGCTCAGGGTGGGTGTGAAAGTGATGCTCCAGCACCAGGACCTTTCAGTTCCATGAGCTGGGGCCACCCCACCCTGGTTTTCATCTTCCTGCACCCTGGGTGACTGAGCCATGAGAAGCAGGGGGTGTGCTGATGGAAAGTCCATCCCAGCTCGCAAGGGTGGGCTGGGGGAGCCAGAGGCATAGACAGGCTGGCCTGGGGGAATGAGGGCACCATACCTTTGTACCAGTTCTTGAGGGAGGTCATGACGAAGAAGCGGATGGCTTGGTTTGATCCCTGCTTGAGGACGGTCGCAGTTAAGCCCTGGTAGGTCCCCTTCAGTCCTGCAAGAAGAGGGTGTTGGAGGGGAGACCAGCCTCAACTGGCAGAGAAAAACCTCCTCAGGCCATCCATCCCAGCCTGTGCCCATCCACCACCTCCCACCCCGTCCCCACAGCACGGGAATACCCAGGGGGTCAGGGCGCCGCTCCCCCGGGACTCACCCTGTTCCCGAACGATCTCCCGGACGCCATGGAAGAAACCACGGTATTTGGGGTTGGGAGAGGTCTGGTCATGGATAAACTTCACCTACGAGGAGATGATGTGCTCGTCCTGGCTGAGGTAAGGGCAGGTGTGATGGCCTCAAAGGGCTGTTGGCCACCTCCTGCCTTGTGCCAGGGACAGTCCCAAGACCAGAGCCAACCCATGCGGCCGGGCTACACTGGAGAGACCACAGGGGAAGCCTGTGCCCATGGCCAGCAGAGCATTTTGCAGAGCAAAACCTGGGAAACTGCTGCTGCAAGCAGCCATGTGGGTTTACAGTCCAAAAATGGGTGACAAGATTGCTCCTGAGTGTGGGGCTCCTCCCCAGGGGGGAAGGAACCAGGACCACCTGACTTGACCTCCAAGAGCTTCCCAGCATCAGATCCTCCCCTACAAAACTGGCCTCAGCAAACTCATGTGGCCCTCAGCTCCCCAAAAGTCAGGCACCCCTGGCTCTTGCACCCTCCCCACCAAGCCCAGTGAGGAGTGCCAAGGCAGGGGACACTGGCAGCTGCCTCCCACCCACCTTCACAGTCTCCATGGGGCAGACCACCGCCACAGCCTCGGCCACGCCAGCCCCCAGCCCGCAGATGAGGCCCCGCGTGCTGTCCAGCCGCCCCTGCTCGTCTCTCATCTGGTTGCTGAGGAACTCGAACATCCCAAACCTGCAAAAGAGCCACTGTGCCAACCCCTGGGCACCGGACAGGGGGCTGCACCCCCCGTTCTGGGTCTGCCTCCAGGAGCAGCTGCGCACCCCGCGAGGGGACCTCCTGTCTGGGAAAGCACCTGGCCTTGGTGAAGTGCCAATGGAGACACTGAGGGGAAAACCAGTCCCTGTTTGCTGCTGTTGGGGGTCCCCCCACTCACCCCACGCCATGGGGACACACCTACCTGACGGCGGCCTTGGGGATGGAGCCGTACAGCAGCGAGCTGAGCCCCCGGTACAGCCCCCGGATGCCATGGTCACGGACAGTCTGCTTCACACAGTCCCCTGTGGCAGAGCACAGCAGTGCCACTGTCACCCGCCACACCGAGGACCACCCCCCACCGCCCCGCCAAATCCCACCCCAGCTCCAGCCAGGCTCCCCAGGAGCCCCCACACCCAGCGAGGGGCCGGGGCCAGCACTGGGCAGGTGCTCACCGATGCCCTTGTAGCGGGGAGGGTTTGCCTTCTCGTCCAGCTGCAGCTGCGTCTTCACATACTCGGTGGGGAATGTGATGCAGATCTCGATCCCTCCGGCCAGGCCACCTGCACAGAGAGGAGGGGGCACTGGGGCAGGAGCAGCACTAGCAAAGGTCAGTGGCTGCTGCCCGCTCCACGACGGCTGAGCCCGAAGCTGCCAGCATCCAGTCTGGGCTGGGACACTGTGTGCCTGTCCTTGCCAAAACCCTGAGCACTCCACACAGCAGCAGGGCCCTGTGCCAACCTGGTGCCCTGCATGGACATCACTGCCCAGCCATGGCAAGAGACAATGAGGAGACTGGCCAAAGAGGTGGGAAAACCGTGCAAGACACCACACCCCCAGCCGCCTATTTGGCATGTTGTCCCCCCAAAGGCACCTCTCCCTCTCCAGAGCCCCACACCCCCAGGTGAGCTGCCAGCACTGGGATTTACAAACCCAGCGGTGCTGCAGCAGGCCCAGCACCACTCCCTGCACTGGTGGGAGTCCATCTGCAGACCAGCCACACCAGCAGGAAGCACAATTATCATCAAGCCTGTCCAGCTGCCCTGGGCTCCCGCAGCGGCGGCTGCTGGGGGCTGATTACAGCGGCTGCAGCCCTTCCTGGTAGCCCAGGCAGCAAGGGATGCCGGATCAGCCACGGGGCTCCCCCCAGCATGGTTGGAGCCCTTGCAGCGGGGCCCAGCTGGGCTGGGGGAGCTGGGCTCAGCCCATCCGGCCACGATGGATCACATCCATGCATTTCCTCGCATCAAAGCATGGCCAGGTCCCGCCGAGCAGCAGGAGTCCTTTGTGCTGGAACAAGGAGAAAGTGCAAGGCCAAGCCGGCTCCCTCAGGGCAAACCCAGCTCAGCCCTGCCCAGGGCACAGGGCGTTGCCACCAGGGTCAGCACCCACCAGAGCACTCCTGAGGGTGTCCCTGCTCCTTGCCCAGGGAAGGTGAACCATGCCCCAGCCCTCAGGGGTCAGGTGGGCTGCCAGCTCCCAGTCTCCCATACAGCCTCCAGTGGCCCCTCCAGCCTGGCCAAGTCCTCGGTGTGACTCAGCAGCACTGCAGCTCTCACCACAGCCATGGCTAGCTTGCAGCCCTACCACAGACCTGGGGACACCCCACTGTCCTGGGGGGAAC